ACCAAAATCAACCTCTATCATAAATAGGTGGCAAGTTATGGTCAATTACATGAATTGACGGCCATCTTGAATGCCATCTTGAATTTCACCTATCCTTCCCATGATTCAGAATGTCTACCCAAGTTTTTTTTACTCCCAGGGGTGTCCCCTACATGAATCAAGCGTCAAACTGCGGGGACATATAAATGTACACAGGACTTCCCCCAGCTGATAGACTAATGGGGGTCTTTTGAATAGAGTAGAGAAATTAGGGTCAAAATATTGTTAAAGTATTAAATTTATTGCAGTGAGTGGGTGAGTCACATCATATCATGATGAATTAAATTCACTATGACAACATTACTAATTATAATGTGAAAACTTAATAATTAATACTAAATATTAATTACTATAATAAAGGTACATAAATAAATGAAATCTGTACGCACAGAGATAGTTAACAAACTGATATTTAGGATAATTATATTCATATCGGTTAATATATGTGGGGCAAGCTATTAGAGACTGTAGGCTAGCTTAACATACATACCTTCATCAATAGTTTTAGTTCCACCATGACTTGACATATCTGTACTGACATATCCTGGACAGCACTAAAAGTAAAAGCACAATAACATTGCAGCATAAATATATTCCATATAATATTCTATAAACATTTCCCCCATCATGTTGACTCATGTGACGGTAAAAAAAAGTTAATGTCAAAAGATCATAAAAGCAAGCATGTGAAACCTTCTAAATTCCTCAATTACATGCCAACTGGCCAATTGCCAGTTTACATATAACAGCATTGAATATATGTAGCTATATAAATATGCTATATTATTTTAGCATATTTTGATTTCCAAATATGTATTGATCATGATCGAATGACCGCTTGATACTCTTTGGTGGCCACTTCTGTCACGTCTGATGAGCGTGTACGGTTGAAAAACCCACCGGCTAAATGTAAATCAAAAGTGTGGGAGCACTTCTACTTGCCAGAGGGCACTCAAAACACAATGCCCCAGCAAACCATGATTAAATATATGGCCTGTCAAAAAAAAGAACCCTAAGGACGAGTAAGAGAGAAAGACCAAGAAAGAGAGTGGGGAGAGAGAAGGTGAAATAGATGGGGAAGAGATGGGAGAGAGAGAGAGAGAGAGAGAAGAATGAGCGAGAGAGAGAGCAAGAGAAAGCAAGAGACAATAGTGAGGAAGAGATCGAGTGAGAGAAGATCGCGAAGGAGCGAGAGAGAGAGGGAGAGAGAGAGAGAGAAAGAGAGAAAGAGAGACAGAGACAGAGAGACAGACAGAGAGAGAGAGAGAGAGAGAGAGAGAGACAAAGAAAAATCAAGTGAGAGGGTAGAGGCAGGGGTAGAGGGAGTGAGAGATAGAGAAAAAGAGCGAAAGAGAGAGAGAGAGAGAGAGAGAGAGAGAATGAGCGAGAGAGAGAGCAAGAGAAAGCAAGAGAAAATAGCGAGGAAGAGATCGAGTGAGAGAAGAGAAGGAGCGAGAGAGAGAGACAGAGAAAAATCAAGTGAGAGGGTAGAGGCAGGGGTAGAGGGAGAGAGAGATAGAGAGAAAGAGCGAAAGAGAGAGAGAGAGAAAGAGAGAAAAAAAAGAGAGAAAGAGAGAGAGATAGAGAGAGAGAGAAAGAGAGAAAGAAAGAAAGAGAGAGACTCACCGCATTGAGAACAATGTCCTGATTGCGGTTCTGCAGCTCACGAGCTTGCACTCTGGACAAAGCAGTGAGCAACAACTTGGTCATGGAATAATGAGACTTTGGGTAACCCTTCTCAGCATGGACACCAGCTTTCACATCTCTGCAATATTTATAAACAATGCTTTAGCAACAGGCTTGTTAGATCAAATCGTCACAGAATATGCATGAATAAAATAAATTAAAAACATGCCATAACTTGAGAGTTGGAGCGAATCTACTTACTCCACATATTGTTTAGCTATTTGCTCTAGTTGAGGAATGTTGTACTCATTGGAAGCGATTTTCTTCTTCATTTCCGGATTGCTAAGCCTTTGGAGAAGCCCAGCAACACTGCTGACGTTCACAACTCTGAAAGCAATATTTTAAGATTATTCAAGTGACAGCCAAACACATAGTACACCTATCGTAGAAAAATACTATACTTATTGATTTGTAAATTATTCAATATATTACATATGGCAGAGTTCTCCCAGGTATTTGACACATGTCGGTTCCTATACATTCCTTCAAAGCTGAAGCTAGTTTACGACATTCCATAAATCAACCGACATGCTTTGATTGCCTAATCCACATGCCTTAATTTCCAGCTGTGTTTATATTTGATAATCCCAACACATTCATGCTGATTTTTACAACTTGATGTATACGTCTCCAAACTGACCAGGCTTACCTGTAGGGCCTACATAGCTTATGACACGCGTAATTGACTCCAGTTGGTTCAATCCCCTCCCACACCCTCCCCCATCCATAAACGGCTTGCCTTCTAAAAATTCCTGGGGAGAACCCTGTATGATTTGTTAGTACATGTGAGACTTACCTTGCATGTGGCTTCAGTATGTCGAACATAGTCTTACAAACATTCAGGTTGGCAAAGAAATTCACAGCCATTGTATTCTCAGCTTGTTCAGCTGCTGATGCAGTTGAAGAATTCTGTATTAAAAAAACAACATTATCTTAGAAGATAGCTGTTGTATATTAGTTAAAAATCACAATTTATTGGGTGGAAATAATATCGCATGACAGTTAATAACCACATTTCACAATCCAAACGCACTCGATCGATCATAACACATACACAGTATTGCAGTAGGCGTGGGGTGTGAGGGGGAAGGCTTGGGTGCGAGGTTATAATTCCAGTGGGTGTGGGGTCCCCTTTGGCCTTCGTGACCTACCCAAGGTGCCATATTCCCACTTGCGAGTCACGTGGCACCTTTTTTCTACCCCTTCTGGAGCCCCGAGCTAATGAACGGAAGTGCGTTTTGGAGTGTGAGAGCAAAGTTGATTTAGTGCATCAATAGATAGGAATTAAGTTCAACTGGCTATGGCTGGTATAGCTACCTTATAAGCTATCCCGGCATTGTTCACCAACACATCTAGCCCCCCATACTGCTGCTTGAGGAAGTCTCGCAGTCTCTCAATGCTAGCATGATCGCTGATGTCCAGAAGGTGGAACTTTGGTGACAGACCTTCGCGTTGAAGTTCTGCCACAGCGTCTGTGCCACGCTTCTCATCACGTGCTGCCAAGACAAATGTGTGCAGATGTTAAAGCCATGCTAACATCACAAAATATAAATTAATGCATGCTTTTAAACTCATATTCGATTTTAAGCTCACAATCATTATTTCATAAGTCATATAAAACTGGCAGCGGTTATTACACACACATACAATTTCTGAATGGAAGAATGTTCTATAAATAAATTCAATGAAATAACAGTATACTTACCTGTCAGATATACATCACCATCAAACTGCTTGCACAACCCTCTTACAACGCCCAAACCAATTCCCTTGTTAGACCCAGTCACCTTGAAAATACAGCATAGTATTAGTAGTGCATTAGAAGGTTATAGTCAGGAGGCTTATGCACTTTTATCTGCAAATTATGAAAGACATTTTTGGGTATCAAATCTGGGTTCATATGTTCCTCAACTAAGAATTTTTTTGAGGAGCCCAAAAATTTGAAGGGGAAATTCGGCCCCATATGGGCCGGTAAGGGACCCGAAACTGTTATTTGCCATATCTTTGCCCTTCTTTGGTCGATTTGAACAAAGTTAGAGTCGATTTAGGGGTTTTAAACATCAAGGAATCGATTGGACGTGGTTTGGAACCTAAATTTGTTAAAAGAAGAACAGGTAATGTGGGGAATACCCTGTGGTTGCGTGAGGGGTAGAGTTGTAAGCACACACAAGTTCTGGTAGCATGTCCGGCCACTTTTTCTTTTTCTCCGGAGGGAGAGTACGCAACAAATTGTGAAGGGTCCTGTTGAAGCGTTCACAGTTGCCATTCCCTTGTGGGTGATACGGCGTGGTTTTGGTCTTCAAGATTCCGTAGATATTGCACAACTCATGGATGATCCTACTTTCGAAATTGCGTCCTTGGTCGCTGTGTATTCTTAGAGGTACTCCATAGTAAACAAACCATTCCCTCACCATAGTTAGCGCAACTCTCTTGACAGTCTGATCTCTTAGTGGTATGGCCTGTGTGAATTTGGTATACACGTCAGTCATCACTAGCACATTCTCAATGTTGTTGGTGCCCGGCTCGAGAAGAGTGAAATCTATAGCTAGTATTTCTAACAGTTTCTTTGCAATGATCGATCCAATTGTCGGTCTCACATGTTCTCCATGTTTTCCCAAAACACATCTGGGACACTTCGCACAATACTCTTTTACGTCTCCTGCCATGTATGGCCACATGAAACGACTGTGCAAAAGGGAGTACGTTCTCTCATAACCTTGATGTCCATGACCATCGTGTACTGCTTTCAGAACCTTGTCTTTCAAAGTTTCAGGCAATAACATCTGCTTAACCACAGTTCCATCCTGAACAATTCGACGGCAAAGTACATCATCTTCTTCTACAATCTGCCTCCAGTGGGCGAATAACCTCCTAGTACCAGGGTGTTCTCTATTTGCTTTCCGCTTGGACGGTTTAACGTTCCTATCCCAGTAGGTCCTGAACTGGCTAATGCAGCGATCCTCTAGTTAAAGTTTGGACAGATTTTCAGCTGACAGCATGGGCATGGAGGTTACAAGGAGAGGACTTTGTCTTCTGATTGTTGTGTGCAGCTCCTCTTCCCATACACGGATAGACACCTCCGGGATTGTGGATCTCAAATCTCCCGGCAACTGTGTAAAGTCACGGAAGCGAATTGTTGTCTGAACACTGGCTTCTTTCAGCCGTGCTGCCTCTTCTCCGTGCCATGTTTTCCTACTCAGAGAATCAGGATTTTTGTTCTGTTTACCCGACCTGTGGCGAATGGTGAGGTTAAACTGTGCCAACTCGCCCACCCACCTCATCTCTGTAGCTCCCAGCTTTGCCGTTGTTTGCGCATAGCTTAGCAGATCATTATCAGTGTAAACCAAGCACTCTGTCTCCAACAACATGTCTCTGAACTTCTCAGTTACTGCCCACTTGAGGGCTAGCAGCTCCAGCTTCATGCTGCTATAGTTCTCCATGTTCCTCTCATTTGGCCATAGCGATCTGCTGGCATAACTTAGGACGACCTTTCCTTGCTCCTGTTCCTGAGATAACACAGCTCCAAGTCCTAGGTAGCTAGCATCCACTTCCAAAATGTAGGGCTTGTTGAAGTCGGGAAACCCAAACATCGAAGCGGAAGTAAGTTGGGTTTTCAGTACCTGAAAGACACCATCACATGCGGCATCCCAAGCACCCATCCCAACACCTCTAGTGATCTTCCTTCGTCCCTTTCGTTTCTTCTGACAGTCACTTCCCTGTAGGAGTGTGTGTAATAGGGAAGCAACTTTTGCAAATACCTTTACGAATCTCCGATAATAACCGACGAGTCCCAAGAATCCTCTAAGTTCCGTCTCTGTTCGAGGAATTTCCCACTCGATAACAGCCCTTATCTTTTCTGGATCTGGGAGAATTCCCTCCTGCGAATCTTTTCCTTGAATAGCTGACATTTCTCAGGCCGGACCTTTAGATTGAATGTGGATAGCCTTGTCAGAACCATGTCCAGTCTTTCAAGAACCTCTTTCTCTGTAGCCCCAAACACCAAGATGTCATCCATGAAGACAATTAGTGTTTGAAAGTTTTGGTCCCCGAATATCCTGTCCATTAACCTCATGAACGTTGCTGGTGCTCCTGTGAGTCCAAATAGCATCCGGGTTTAACCTATAGTCCCCTTGTACCAATCCTGAACACGGTCTTCTCAATGTCTGCTTCTGCAACTGGGATTTGGTTAAAGCCATGCGCCAAATCCAAGCTACAAAAGTATCTGGTTCCTTTCAGGACAAGTGGGTACGCACCTTTGCGTGTCTTCGCATTGAGGGCCCTGTAATCACAGAATAGTCTCAGCTTTCCATTACTCTTTCTCACCAATACGACAGGAGATGCGTACGGACTTGATGATTCAAGGATGATGCCTGTATCAAGAGACTTGGACAAATATTCCCTCACTTCACCCCATTGCTGTGGAGGAATTCTACGATGCGCAGTCTTGACTGGTATATCATCCGTAGTGGCTATCTTGTGTTCAATAACATCGCAAAACCCTGTCTTCGCCGGACTGACTAAATGTCGACCTGTGTTTTGAAATAACTTCTGCAAGCTTAGTGTGATATTCGTCTCCAAGATTGCTACTGATGTCCATCTTGTCCAACAACTGCTTCGTAATTTCATCAGACACAGCTGTATCTGAAATGTCCCGGACTTGTATTTCACAGGCACGGACTTCCACCACTTCAACTTGTGGTTCCAAAGAAGCTCGTTTCAAATTAGCAATAGGAGTTCTCGGCTTGAGGTAAATATCACTATTCATAACGTTAGCCACCTGAATCGGGACACTCCCCTTTCCTGTTACAGTTACTAAGGATAGTCCAAGTACGAGTCCTTTCTGCAAGGAGACTACACCATCATCTAGTTCCTCGACCAGTTTGGTATAAGAGTCTTTTGCTCGCATCACTGATCCTTTAATAATCTGTATAGACCAAGCCGGTACTAGCACTGGGGCGTGCAGCTACTCTCACCTGACCAATCTCATCTTTTTGTCTTTCTGCACATATTTGTTCATACAAAGCTAACACAGTCTGCCATTCTTTTGGAACCTTAGTACTATCAGAGTTCAACTTCATGTCCCTAAACACGTTCGAACTTAAAACGCCTGGGACCTAATTCTTCCTCATGATCTTTGACGACAAGGAACCCAAGATCTTTGAAATCCTGGTGGAAAACTGTCATAGTGAATTCAACGTAGCCTAAAATAGGTAGGTCCTTCCCATTGGCTGCTTTTACCTGTATGAAATCCGACACCTTGGCTAATCCCCCTCCCACGAAATGTTTTCTAAGGATTCCGTAACCGTTGACACCTGCGCTCCTGTATCAACTAGACATCAGATTTCTACACCATTTAGCAATACTGCGGACTCCGGACAAGTTCCTATCGCTCTATACAAGAATGAGCCTTTGTCAATTCCACCCGCAGTGACTCTTTATTGCAGGCTTCTCTAGTATTCCCGCCTCTTCTGAGCTGGTCTGTTTGCACTCATTCGAATCGGGCAGTCACGTTTAAAATGCTCAGGGGAACTGCATAGCCAGCACACATTACTGATGGATTTCTCGGTCTTGAAACGCACAGCCTTTAGAAGGCTATCAATTTGTTTTTGCTGCTGATCAATGATGTCTTGCTGTTGCTTGAGGCGAACTTCCTGTTCGTCCGACGGCACTTGCTGTACCGACGTAGCCTCCTGCAATGTCACCTTCTTCCCATTCGTGATTCCAAGCCAATTGACGGCCCTGTCCCTCAACTCGAAAAATGTCAAGCTGGGGAGTTCCATGTTGAGTCGCCTCAACTCCCTCTTCAAGCCCTCGTCGTTCACCGTCTCTGCAAATCGGCCCTTCAATGTCTCTGTTCTCTTGGCCTTCATAGTGGGGTCGAGCTCAGCCATCCTGTCATGCAGTTCCACCATGTTGAGAGAACAGGTCACTACGTCCTCCTCTCCCTGCTTCAGCGAGTAAAACCTCTGCTGAAGCATGGGGAGTTGGTCTCCATCGCCAAAAACACGCAAGAGTACTTTTAGAATTTCCTCTGGGTTGTTTTTGACCTCCTCCCCCCTGCCCAGTATCTCTTGTCGTGCCTTACCACTCAAGTTGTCGATGATTAGTGCTGCCAATTCGCCTCCTTTGAGTTTTCTGGCCTCAGCATGACTTCGAAGGTCTGCTATCCACTCGCTAATCGATGGATCTGTAGCCTTCTCAGGCCTTCCCCTGTATCTGTCTAGCCGCCGACCTGCCAACATGACCACGGGTTTCTGCGCCTCTGCAGAGTTCGACTTGATCCATGCATCCTGCTCTTGCACGCGCATCCTTAGCAGTTTCAGTTCGTTGGCTAATTCCGCTACAACTTCCTGCGAAACCGCCTCCGGCGCAACATCAGCATTATCCTGACCTTCTTGTAGTGACATTCTAACAATTTTTCCAACTTCTCAATACAGACATTACTTTCACATACATATCAATAATAACATAACACAAAACATGTCCGATCTGGCAGCAGGGTATGGAGACCAGTCCCAACAATCGTCCACAGCGTCGTCGTCCAATACGGAGACTTCAGCAAGCAGTCGCCGTCAGCACATTGTCATCCTGGAGTGGGTGTATCTGCGATGACGTCTTCACTTAGTAGTCGAGGGTAGCACCGATGTCGATCCCACTTCTGACACCATGTAAGATGAGACAGTTTCCTGTAAATTCCGTCGAAATCCTACGTCTAACATACGCCGCCAGCTGCCATTGCTGTCGCGGCGCGACTGTTGCACGCTTACACAAATATATATAGCAGGTAGGAAAGCGTGCTGCCAAAATTCTCTCGACGCTCGCTTGATTTGACACTTTCACAGCACGAATACACATCCAAGTGCTTCCATCTTTGTTTCTCCTTCAACGCTAAAAAAGGTTCACGAACGCGAGAATTTCGTCAGTCTTTCTGTGATTTCGCGTGACACAGCTCGGTTACGAACAGAGACATTATGTTTTATAACAAGTAAACACTGTTCACGTCCCAAATGTCTGCCCTCTGTGTCCCCCACTAAAATTGCGGACTGTTCGCTGGCAACTATGGATCCGTGCGCTGGCCTATGCATTCGCGCACGGATCCATAGCTGCCAGCGCTGCATACTGTCGTAGGACGTTCCCGCGGTCAAGTGCGCCTTGCCGCGGAACTGCGCGCAAGATCTGCGCTCAGCGCTTCGGATCAACACCTCCTTTCGGCAACGCTTCTCTAGTATCCCGTCTCATCTGGTTATGCGAGTACGAACTCATTCGGATGAACAACTTTATATATATAGACATTATTCTACCGTCCATAGCCGTGCGTATATTAGCCTATGAGCGATACCGCACGTATATTTTTGGTAATTAATTAAACTATACGTGCTTCAATAAACTCAAAATACACGGATACCATAGCTAAAACATGTGTTTATATTTATCTAGAATATTAGAAATGTAACTTAATTCGTTCGCGAGATATTAGAGTTAGTACACTTTCCTACGGCCCATAGCTTAATAGCGCATGGTGGTAGTAATAGGGGGTGGGGGGTTAACGGCTGCATGTGTGCGGCTGCAATGATGCGCCAGCGTGCTCAATAGGAGCGGTGGCCGTTGGAGGGTTTGGAATCGGCGGCCGCCATATGCGCCCGAGGCTACGTTATCGCTCCACGTACGTAGGTCAAAGGTTGCACACTGCGCGCGAAAACCCATGTTTCTGCAAACTACTTGTATCGTTCGCTGACCAACTACTAGTATGGTCAGGAGTGTATCAATACACTCCAGCTGGGGCCGGATTCATCAACGTTGCGTAAAGTCTATTGCGTACACAACAACATCTATTCTGGGTCCGACATCTTTATTTAGGCCCAATGAAGAACCCTTGACTACTCTGGGTGGGTACTCCAGCATACAACCGGCTTCCTTCCCAGCGGTATCAGGAGTGCCGCAGGCCGAGGCATTTAGATAGTGTAATATGTGCTAGTCATAACAACATGGCAAGTTCTACACGTGCAAGATGGCGTCGCAAAAAGGCCGCTGGCGGATCCAGTATTTTACCCAAAACATATATGCAGGCATTAAAAACGTCAATAACGTATATACAAGCTCACTAAAATCTGTAAATACAAATAATAACAATATAATAATATTCTGACTCCCAAACTAGAAAATAATACTGTTCTAGCAAACATAATACACAACTGGTATCCACTCTGGTACTTCCGGTACCGATCGGCTATTTCCTTAATGTTATGTAAACAATAATACGTGGATCGAAGTGGACGTCTCTGATACTACTTTACATATAAGTTACATTAATTTCATATAATATCAAAATACATCAAGTAGTTTGTCATTATACATCAGGTCAGTCAATGGCATTCTTAAGATGGGGGTCTTTTGAATAAAGTAGAGAAATTAGGGTCAAAATATTGTTAAAGTATTAAATTTATTGCAGTGAGTGGGTGAGTACACATCATATCATGAGGAATTCAATTCACTATGACAACATTACTAATTATAATGTGAAAACTTAATAATTAATACTAAATATTAATTACTATAATAAAGGTACATAAATAAATGAAATCTGTAGGCACAGAGATAGTTAACAAACTGATATTTAGGATAATTATATTCATATCGGTTAATATATTAGAGACTGTAGGCTAGCTTAACATACATACCTTCATCAATAGTTTTAGTTCCATTATGACTTGACATATCTGTACTGACATATCCTGGACAGCACTAAAAGTAAAAGCACAATAACATTGCAGCATAAATATATTCCATATAATATTCTACTATCTATGAACATTTTACCCCTCATGTTGACTCATGTGACGGTAAAAAAAAAGTTAATGTCAAAAGATCATAAAAGCAAGCATGTGAAACCTTCCAAATTCATCAATTACATGCCAACTGGCCAATTGCCAGTTTACATATAACAGCATTGAATATATGTAGCTATATTCTATATTATTTTAGCATATTTTGATTTCCAAATATGTATTGATCATCGATCGGTAGCCACTTCTGTCACGTCTGATGAGCGTGTACGGCTGAAAACCCCACCGGCTAATGTAAATCAAAATTGTGGGAGCACTTCTACTGGCCAGAGGGCACTCAAAACACAATGCCCCAGCAAACCATGATTAAATATATGGCCTGTCAAAAAATGAACCCCAAGAACGAGTAAGAGAGAAAGACCAAGAAAGAGAGTGGGGAGAGAGAGGGTGAAATAGAGGGGAAAGGGAGATAGATAAAGAGAGAGAGAGAGAAAGAAGAATGAGCGAGAGAGAGCAAGAGAAAGCAAGAGACAATAGCGAGGAAGAGATCGAGTGAAAGAAGAGAAGGAGCGAGAGAGAGAGGGAGGGAGAGAGAGAGAGAGAGAGAGAGAGAGAGAGAGAGAGAGAGAGAGACACAGAGAGAGACAGAGAATGAAAGTGTCAATGACACTGTAGCTCACCACAAAAAAAGACACAAATGAGTGAGTAAGAAGAAGTCAGT